GAGGGCACCTTATCTTGAAATTCCGCGGGCATCCTCCCAGGGCTGCGGTTGGCACGGGCTTCCTGCTGAGCAGTCCTCTGTCCCCTCCTCCCACCCCTCCCTTGTCCAGACAGCCCGTGCTCACTTCTTACCGACTGAACTGCGATTCTTCCAGAAGCTGCCTGCGGAATTGACCACAGCTCTTGCCCGCCTGCGGCTTAGAAAGCTGAGAAGAGCCCAGATCCGAGTGGGGCCGCGTGGGGGCACCCAGCAGCCTGGGGGTGGGGGGACAGGGAGGGGTTGCTTTGCGAGGACCACGGAGCTCGTGAGCAAGGAGCCCAGGGCCAGCCGCCTGGTGGGGCCATGGAAACGGCGGTGCTTGGGATGGTGGCCGTACTGTTTGTGGTCACCGTGGCCATCGCCTGCGTCCTCTGTTGCTTCAGCTGTGACCCGAAGACCCAGGATCCTCAGGGAGCCCCTGGCCCCAGCTTCACTGTGGCAACATTTCGCCAGGAGACGTCCCTCTTCTCGATTGGGGGCCACCATACCCAGCCAGCAAGGGGCACCCGCGAGTTCTGGACCTTTGTATGAGACCTAGCCCTCCCCCCCGGAATTTACCCTGCTGGTGGGGTGCACTCACCCACCCCTCAGGAAGCCTCCCCTGGGGACTCCCCCCCCCCTCCCCGCAGGCTTGCATCCCTGTGTCACATCCTCCCTTGCTGGCCTCCCAGCCCCAGAGGTGGGGCCAGGTCACTAAGTGGTGCAAGGAGCGCAGCTTGCACCGAGTGACACCGTGTGTGTTGGAGGAGGGGGGCGGTCAGCCAGGGGAAGAGGGACAAGGCGACACCAAAATCATTGTCTATACATTATTTGGATGCAAACAACGTTTCAAAAGAGGTTTCTTATTTTACACTTGACCTTAGCCAAAAGGCTGAGAAGCAAGGGGAGAGGGCTATTCTTTTTATAAAAATTAACCTATAGGCAGTTCTAGCAACGAAACCATTTTCCATAAGCCTGGTTTACGTGGAGCAGTCTACTTACAGGGTTAAAAACTCTATGCTGGTTTACTTTCTGAGCCTTTCAACACACTCAGCGCTGTCATCATCACCCAGTTAAAAC